GAAAAAAAGTCAGAATTGTGAGATAAAAAGTCGCAATTACCTTTTTTATTTTATTTTTTTATTCAGTGGCGGAAACGGGCTTCCACTGACAGGTGTCAATAACCCCGGGGAAAATAGATTTATACAAATTAAACCAACGTTGTCATGTTTTAATACATGTAATTCCTCAAATTTTAACGAATAAGTAGGCCTAATTTCAAAACGTAATATTGCTTTGTTAATTAAATAAAATTACACTATTAAACTAAATTTACACTAAAACACATCATTTTAATTTTCTAATTAACATAAAATTCGACGTTGAAAATATTGACGCATGCTCACAACTGTAAGAGTAATAACGTCATGCGATTTAAATATTAACCGTCAATCAGTTCTTCCTCCGCCTCCGCCTTTTTTCATCCGTTTTACTCGCTTCATTTTCTGGAAAAAAAAGCCACTCAGAGTCAGTCAGGTACCCGACACCTAACCAAACCTTTACGCGGTTCTCCTCACGCAATATTCGCATTTTACACACAAAATAAACATTTAATTTGGCTTTATTTTGACTTTTTGTGATGGAGAACACTGACAGGGATGGAAGCCCGTTTCTGCCACTGAATTAAAAAAATTAAAAAAGGTTATTGCGACTTTTTATCTCACATTTCGGACTTTATTCGCAGAATTGTGACATATTAAATCGCAAGTGCCAGTTATAAAATCAGAATTGCGAGATATAATCTCAAAATTCGGACTTTTTTTCTCAGAATTGCGTGATAAAAACTCGCAATTCAGATTTTTTTTCTCGCAATTCCGAGTTTATATCTCGCAATTCTGACCGTTTTTCTCGCAACTCTGACTTTTTTCTCAGAATTGTAAGTTATAAAGTCAAATTTTGAGGTGGAAAAGACTATGTTCTCAGAATCGCGTGTTTATTTCTCACAATTATGACTTTATAACTCGCAATTGCAAGTTCTGAGAAAAAAAGTCAGAATTGTGAGATAAAAAGTCGCAATTACCTTTTTTATTTTATTTTTTTATTCAGTGGCGGAAACGGGCTTCCACTGACAGGTGTCAATAACCCCGGGGAAAATAGATTTATACAAATTAAACAAACGTTGTCATGTTTTAATACATGTAATTCCTCAAATTTTAACGAATAAGTAGGCCTAATTTCAAAACGTAATATTGCTTTGTTAATTAAATAAAATTACACTATTAAACTAAATTTACACTAAAACACATAATTTTAATTTTCTAATTAACATAAAATTCGACGTTGAAAATATTGACGCATGCGCACAACTGTAAGAGTAATAACGTCATGCGATTTAAATATTAACCGTCAATCGGTTCTTCCTCCGCCTCCGCCTTTTTTCATCCGTTTTACTCGCTTCATTTTCTGGAAAAAAAGTAATATGGAAAGTGGTTCTTCACCCGAAGAACATTCGAAAGACACGACGATTTCGAATTGTGTTTGGAAACTGCGACGCTACGGTCGGTTTCTCCCCGAAGGCAAAGCAAAATCGGTCAGTAACTGCGCGTGGAAGGTGAGAACTGAGCGAAAAGTCCCGCCCTTTTCTCTTGCCGCCCTCAACGGAAGCGAAAGCGGGACATTTTCGTTTTATAACTGAAATATATTAATTTCTTGTTCATTCAGACATCTCAGTGTGGGGAAAACAAACGCCATTCGTTTTGAACCATTAGTTGTTGTTTTGCTGGGAAAAAAGAGTTTAGTGAGGAGAACAAGTTGGCAAGATAAAAAAAAAAAACAAAAAAAAAAAACAGGCCCATTAGTACTACAAATAAAAACAGTAATTCTAAAAAAAATTGATTTGTTTAAAGACAATGTGAGTGTTGTTTGCTCCAACATTGAATTGTTGTGATTGATGTTTGGTGTATTGTTATATGGCTGCTAAGGTGTTCTGGGTGGTTGTTAGGGTGTAGTTAAATGGATGCTGGGTGTTTTGGGTGGTTGCTAGGGTGTTGCTGAGTGGCAATAACCCCGGGGAAAATAGATTTATACAAATTAAACAAACGTTGTCATGTTTTAATACATGTAATTCCTCAAATTTTAACGAATAAGTAGGCCTAATTTCAAAACGTAATATTGCTTTGTTAATTAAATAAAATTACACTATTAAACTAAATTTACACTAAAACACATAATTTTAATTTTCTAATTAACATAAAATTCGACGTTGAAAATATTGACGCATGCGCACAACTGGATGCTGGGTGTTTTGGGTGGTTGCTAGGGTGTTGCAGAGTGGATGCTGGGTGTTTTGGGTGGTTGCTAGGGTGTTGCTGAGTGGATGCTGGGTGTTTTGGGTGGTTGCAAGGGTGTGGCCGAGTGGATGCTGGGTGTTTTGGGTGGTTGCTAGGGTGTTGCTGAGTGGATGCTGGGTGTTTTGGGTGGTTGCTAGGGTGTTGCAGAGTGGATGCTGGGTGTTTTGGGTGGTTGCTAGGGTGTTGCTGAGTGGATGCTGGGTGTTTTAGGTGGCTGCTAGGGTGTTGCTGAGTGGATGCTGGATGTTTTTGGTGGTTGCTAGTGTGTTGCTGAGTGGATGCTGGGTGTTTTGGGTGGTTGCTAGGGTGTTGCCGAGTGGATGCTGGGTGTTTTAGGTGGCTGCTAGGGTGTTGCTGAGTGGATGCTGGATGTTTTTGGTGGTTGCTAGTGTGTTGCTGAGTGGATGCTGGGTGTTTTGGGTGGTTGCTTGGGTGTTGCTGAGTGGATGCTGGATGTTTTTAGTGGTTGCTAGGGTGTTGCTGGGGGTTTTGGGTGGTTGCTAGGGTGTTGCTGAGTGGATGCTGGATGTTTTTGGTGGTTGCTAGGGTGTTGCTGGGTGTTTTGGGTGGTTGCTATGGTGTTGCTGAGTGGATGTGGATGTTTTTGGTGCTTGCTAGGGTGTTGCTGGGTGTTTTGGGTGGTTGCTAGGGCGTTACTGAGTGGATGCTGGGCGTTTGGGGTGGTTGCTAGGGTGTTGCTGAGTGGATGCTGGGTGTTTTGGGTGGTTGCTAGGGTGTTGCTTAGTGGATGCTGGGTGTTTCGTGGATGCTTGCCTGTTCAAATAGAGTCCACCTCAAGTCTCTGTTATATTCTGATCTCTAAACTAGTTTCCAATTTGTGTTTCTTTCAGATTTTCGAGTCCAGTGAAAGCACTGGCCAGCTGGAGCTAAATATTCTGGGCTCTGGTCATCTGCTAGTATCTCAAGGCCAGGAACTCTTGGTAAGCTTATATGAAAACACACAGGATCTGTCTAGTGACCAATAAAAATGTTTTTTTTTTTTGGCCGGTTATGAAATGCTGCTCTCTAAGCCGTCGACACTCTTCTTCCCATCAGGCTCTAAGTGTGAGGTCAGGATAGCGCAGGTTCCGCTGAACCCATCATAAGAGCTTGACCGTATTTCTTTTAACCCGCAGAAAGAACAGCATAATCCCCTTCCCGCCCCGCTGGGCCTGTCGCTGTCCCTTTGGGATTGCCAGGCTGAGTGCTTCGGATATCTCCCAACAATAAGCCTCAATCTTGGACTCATGGACACAATAGTCTCTGGCTCCTCATGGTGAGCTGGGGAGCTGCATTTGGAGAATGACTCACTTTTTGAGCTTTTATGCAGAACAACAGAGAAGAACGAGGCAGCGCGCCCATCCAGATCAAAGCATCGTGTGATTTTGAGAGCAGGGACCGGCGTCTAGTCATTGATATGTGTCTATAAACTGAACACCCCTGTTTTATTATATGTAACAAGATTACATACACATCCATTTTCATACATTTCATAGCCACTTTTCCATTTCTGTCAAATGTGTTTCAAAGTGGTTTCTTTGCACAACAAACCAGTTGCAAAGAACAATGCCGTGCAATGCAGATGCGATATTTGACATGCAAAGATCACAATTTTAATCTTATCTGCTTTAAGCATTTCTAAAGAGAGGAAAAATCTGTTTTGAATTATTATTTTTTTTGGTTAAAATATGTATTTAATGTGAGGTGCAGCTCTGTAGAAGCATGTTGTTTTTTCAATCCCTGCACTTTCTACATCAAGTGTTGTGATTTATGATATATCCAAGAAAAGAATTCCAGAATTCCTTGCAAGAAACAAGGTGAAAGTTTCCCTGTTTGTTCTCGCTGTAAAACTTTAACTAAACTCGCTTGAGTAGAACTGCTTGTAGTAGTAGCAATAGTAATAGTATAGCAGTAGTAGGAGCAGAATGAATGTTGATATGGTTCCTGGTTGCATTGCCTGTGTCTTGGTGAACGTGACAGTCAGTCATGCATTGATGTTGTTAGTAGAGCCCCCTTCTGACATGATTGTGTAATAGCAAAAAACAAACAAACAAAAACTTGTACTCAATGTCTCAATGGAGAAAATGCT